AATTCGCAACTCTGAGTTATGAAAGATATAGACTGCGCATTCCCTAATCTTGGGTTCTGAATTAGTTAAAAAGAATTAAAGATATTAATATATATTTTCAATTCTATCAGCATTTCTTTTCAACTCGATAAAAAGAGAAAAAGATAGATAGGATAGTTCATTTATTGGTGTCCCAGGGCAAACCCTCTAAGAACAAACTTATAATTATAAAAGTAAAGTGAAAATTGCAAAAAAAATATGTACAAAAATAAGCAAATAATTAAAAGAAAGTAATATATTGTATGAGAAAAAGATTTAAATATACAAAAGAGAAGAAATACAAAATAAAAAATATGTATATATAAAATAGAGAGAGAGTGAGAGAAATATTCTTCAATTTCCTCACTTTTTCTAAATCAATAATGACAACTTTATAGGAATGCGCAGTTTATTCTTATTACATCTGTGACTGCGACACGCGTAATTTCACGCGAACTCGCCACTCGATTCATTATTCTGGTGATGTTGTACTTGCAGTATACGTTCCTCTCGGATTGCTTCGATCGAATAGCCGAAGAAGCGAAATGGGATGACCCAGGGGAATGACGTAACGTACGACGCTAAGAGGTATCCAGTGTATAACTTTTGAGGGTCCTTTCACGGGTTATCTCGCACTCGTCTCTCCGTAGTCGAAATTTTTTCTTATTAGAATTAGGGCAGTCTTTAGAAACGGTTAACTTAGTATCTTTAGCACATCAATTTTTTTCATCCGTTATCTTTGCCGAATGTTTCCAATGCTGTACACTGAGAGAGCCCACCGTCATTGGAAAAATAAAATGTGTGTGTTGTGCGAATGTAGATATATATACATCCCAGTGAAACAGTGCTGTTATCAGAGAAACAAAATTCGATGGATTACTGCGACGCTCGCAAATAATCTGGAACGAGAACGGTATGTGATGTATAAATTTAAACTCGGATTTATCATTGATACTACGCTCGTCCATGATCTAGTGAGGAAATCTTGACGTAGACCGATATTCATATTCCATTCTTATTTCAAGATCGATTTTAAGTAATATCTTAAGATGCTAATACAGCTCTCTAATTAGATCTTAAGACTGTACTTAAGACAGTAATTATTAATTAAATTTAAATATAAGAATGGTCTATGAATATGTAGTTTGAATTCAGTATGCAAGAAAATAAATCTTTTTTTATGCATTAATATAGCTGGGATTTTTGTTTTGTCGATGAAACACCGTGCCGTTTTCTCCTTTGTTACGATGAACAAAATCGCGCACGCGATAACATATAAGAGAATTACATTAGTGTATAGATATACAGACTATTACTACGGGGATACGATCGTGTCCGCCTAGAGAAACTACCTATCCTTCTGGCCTATGAATTATTATGTATACAGCACGCAACTCGTTTTCTAACGAGAAAATCGATCGTCTTATGTAAAACGTTTCTCCTTTGCCTAACAGACCCGAAATTTTCTTTCAATGGATCTGCGTATCGATCGTGCGTTTAAAGAAACAGAAATAATACCCTGTGCATTTTCTAATGTATAATATTTTATAAATCAATCATAATCTCATAGTCAATTCGTTACGCAGGATATTTTAAAACGAGAGGCGCCGTTTTCGCACGTTTATGAAGAATCTCAATAGTATCGACAGCGCGTCCATTTTATCGCTGTGGTAGGTTTCATTCTTTGCAGAAGAGAAACACTAGAAATCTGAAACGTCTAAGAAAACAGAAGAAATAGATACATATCACATCTATCGACGGCTTTATTATAAGCAGAACCGAATTCTTGTTTCTTTTCTTCTTTTTAAACTATCCTGTGTAACAAACGAATTCCTAATGCACGTGTGACTACGGTATCATATGTCCCGTAATTGATATATAATGTTATCGATCAGTCCTCATTTTGTTAATTCATTAGTATGTATAGCGTATTAGCGTTGATAAAAAAATAGAACAAACTGTACATATTAATGTTAAAAATATATACTTTTTGAGAAGAAACTTAGTTGTGTACGTGTGTATGCGTATGTGCGTTTTGATAAGATCGATAATTACTTGATCGCAAGATTAATTATAACTGGGTGTCGCGTTGTGCTGAAAAACGAAATGACGATCTGATTATTACGCGAAATTGTGAGCGTAAATCGCAAGTGAATCGGAGAATTGTAATAACAATCGAGAACTATTTTTAAATCGATGTTTTCGATTCAGAAACTTTATCCCGGGCTACTTCCCTTTAATGAATTTATAAAGATACTGTACAGTAGAAAATGCAGCATTAATGCTCATCTCCGATTATATATAAGCATGTACGGAATTTAAAAAGAAAGAGAAACGTAAAAACTTGGAACAATAATGCAATAAGGTCGCGTGTTTTCCTCTACTATCTTATACGAAGAAAGAATAACAATACTCATTAATAATGTTAAAAGAGATATTGATAATAATAATGAGATATTAATTATAATAACAGCAAGTAAGAAAAAACATAAAAATAATATTAACACTACTCTACGCGTTGCGGGATTTTGCAAAAGGCCGTAATACGCGTTTTGGCATAGATATCCACTTACAGAAAGCGAATATTTGGAGCGAGCATATTATATGCCCATAATCAGTCATTTTTTTCTCTTCTTTTGTTCTTCTTTTCCATTCCTATGCATCCTGCCTTCTCGCAGTGCTTAAATCCACTCGTTCTAAACATGTCGCTTACTTAATTGCGAGCAGTTTTAGCAGATAATAAATAGAAAAATAAATATATTATTATCGTTAATGTTTTTAAACTTTATTCATGGAGTATCGAGCGCATGCGATGAATGGGAAATGTATGTGGCAATGTAAAATCCAAATGATGAGAGGAAAAAAAATATATATGCTTGCGACAGAGCATAGTTATGATACTGTTAATGATAATAGAAATATAGAACATAATATAGAGTAATTATATAATCGAACGCGCGAATATCCGAGTGAACACACATATGAATTGATCAACATATGATGTGATGTATTCGCGAGTGCATCTAGCTATTCGATCGAGTGAACAAGACGATAATGGTTTCTATTGTTTTATCGATAGAAAGAGAGAGAGGGGGGAGATGAAGGTTTTTCGAAGGAACTGTGCAAAATCTGTGAATTAGCAATACGTACGTCCGAAAATGTTATTATTGATGATAAATAAATCTTGAGTGAACCTTCGGGTAATCATCTAACTTTATATAATTTAGCATCCGCAAACGAAAGAATTAGTTAATTATGCAATTCTGTTGAATAATGTGTCTAATAATACTTTTGCACGATGTATGATTTCTGATCTTTTTGATCAAATGATGTCGCTGAAATACGAAAAACTCGAAGGTCTCATTGATTATTGTATTACCGGCAGCAAAAAGATTCTCTCGAAATACACATCGAGATCTTTCGTATTTTATTGATTGGTGAAGTAATCGGATGAATAATTTTCGGATCGAAAAAGAAAGTCTGTGGCATCTCGGAGCAGCCACGTGTTTTTTGAAGAATGGCAATAATATTTATAAAAAGAACTGCGTGTGTGTTAATTGGTAGAATTAATTGGTAGCGAGTATTTTTCGAGAAAATCGGAGTGATCGCAGAGATACGTCCAAATTGAATTTGTGACTTCTGATGCGAAAGATCTGAAAAAATAGTCGGATTAATGATATTTTGTACAGTTTTGTACAATTATCTTTATCTTACAGTATTTTTATTACGATTCGGTAATTGCCTTATTGCAGCTTTAGTGATGTAAGTTGAACGAAAATTGTCTTTCATTTCAAGAAACTGTTCGATAAAAAAATTTTGCTTACTTTGTTTTTGTCGCTTTGGTGAAATATATCTCATTAGGAGATTAACTAATTTGTTAAATAATTTATTATCTCGTTAATTAGCATGTTCACGAGCCTGTCAAACACAGAATGGCGAATTAGGTAATATAATTTAATTATTGTTACAAGATCATATCATTACGGTTAACTCTTTAGGCATTAATTGAAATATTCTGTATAATCATAGTACGTAATAACAAATGCTCCAATTTACCGTATAACATCAGTTCGCGAAACATTTGCTGTAAAACTAGTATTTCGAATTAGCGAAAGAGATATTATTCGATTTCTTTATGGGCCATCTTATTGAGAAACATATAATAAAAACAGAAGAAATAGAACTATTATTTCAGCCTTTTTTAATGACATCTCTTACCTACTATTATAATAGTTATAACGCATAATAGGTATAACGCATATCATAGATAAAATAACATGATAGTAGAACAATCTGTGCGATACAATTGTTATTATGTAACGAGAGTAATTTCAAATATATCTGACGTAAAGCACACTCACACAAGCAAATAGTAGAGGACATCAAGATGGAATAACGTCGTGGCTTTCTCAGCGTCTATAGAAAAGGAGAATCGTTCAAGTAGAATCTTAAAAATGTTTGCAAAGTGGAGAGTTCTCAATAAAACCACCGTCGTCTTTTCTTCATTTTATCCATGTTCCTAAGCATATAGTAAAACAGAAGAAATAGGACTTTTGTTTATGTCTCTTTTAATTATGTATCCTACTATTGCTATAATTATATCATGAATAAAATAACGCGTACAATTCCCAGACATAAAATCAAACAATTTTGATTCGCGGGCAAATTGACAATAGGCTTCCATATAAAAGCATCACAAACGCCACAGTAGGAATTAAAATTGGAAATATTTTCGTTGGAAATATTCCAGCGAAATGCAGCCATGTAGCCCAGCAAAGGTGAATAACGCATGACGTCCCACATTATAATTACTATCTCGGATTAAAGTCCCCGGTCATAAACTATGTAAGCACAAACAAACTCGAAGCTGGTTGTGTATTCGCAAGATTATCATGTTCGTGCGCTAGTGTACAAAATGGTCTACACATTCTACGTTATACCTTTGTAACTGGTGTACGCAGGCTTTCGCGTGTGCACATGACCTCGTATACGCGATATTGTTACATGCAAGACGGTCTGAGAAGATATCGCTAAGTGGCCGCCGATATACGGAACGACAGATCAGTTTAAGTCCACCTGTCCTGCAAGGTGGAACTCCTTCGTAGAGAAATAGTTTATCGGTGATCGCGAATTTAATTCAATCGCCGGCTTGACCCTGAGAAAAGATTGTCATAGCCTGAAAAAATGGATCGTATAAAAAGAAAGAGGAAGAAGACAGGTAGTGAAAAGGTAGCTAATTAAGTCAAATTTTATGTGCGAATGAAATTCCTGAAAAAATTAAATTGATATTTTAAACATTAAAATTCAAATTATTTCTTTAATTTTTTTACATATTAAAATGTAGAAGATTAAATCTATTTTAAAATATTAAAATTTTAAATATTAAAGTACTTTTTTACTTTTTAACTTTAATAATACAGAAAATTTAAAAACATTTTTAGTTTTTTTCTATACTGTTATAATAACTCATGTAATATTCTATATAATTAATGACAACTTTTCTTGTATTTTAAAAAGTTTACATTTTATCATAATTCTTCCGCAGTAAATCTTCTTTATATCTCTATATAGTTAACAATTGAATTTCATTTGAATTTAATCACAAAAACGTATAAAATTATAATAAGTTAAAGATAAATATTATAATATTTGCTCGTAGACTATTATCTTAACAAACACAGAATGATAACTAAAGATTAAAATCTTTTTTGATTCGAAAAGATCAGTCTTATCGATGACGTATATCAAGATAACAGTTGAAAAAAAATGACAACCACAATATTAAATTATGATATGTTCTATAATAGTTAATATTAAATTGCTATTAAATCCAATTATTACGACGTCAATTATATAAAGCAATACAATAATCTAACTGATATAATAATATAATATAATATAATATAATATAACTCTCAATGAATAGATTGTTTTATATAATTATATAACTCATAATCCGCGTGTTTTATTTGATTATTTAACATTCATCTTATTACAATTTTTATCTTATTACTCATTCTGTTATTAAAAAAAACAATTAAAATAATAGAAAACTTTATACAATAATAAATTATTTTATTTTCAATATTCCGTTTAATGTCAACTCTCAAATTCTTTTTTCATTTAAAGATATTTTTTTATGTTTATCTTCAAATTCTAAACATGTATCACTTTCTTGTATAAAGAGAAATACAACAAAAATGACTTGACAAATGATTTGTCAATACACTTAATAATAACTTCATCGTTTGCAAAATGCTGCATTATTTGCTTACGTACTAACCTAAATTCTTTAGAAATCAATTGTAATTCTTCGGACATAATTCCATATTTTACTGAAATCATCGACGCATCAGTTTCATTATCATTTTAATATGCTGTAGTAACAAGAATAAGTATCTAATTAAGAACTCTGATAATTGAAGAAAATGAAATACGTATCATAAAATGCATACATTCTCTCATATTTGTATTAAGATAATATTAATTTTAAATGTTTGCTTTGAAAAAAATAGTTTTATGCACGGAACTCGAAGCGAATTATAATTTGAGTATGCATGAATTCGCATCAAAGGAAATTGACGTTGCAGAGACTTTTCTGTTCCGTAACGCTCTGATGGATAATATTTCATGCCTTAACCAGCTCTTCTTATTAGTCATGACATAACAATTACTTGTTATAGATTTACGCGTCATTACGTAATGAAGTTAGCAGAAACAAATCAGACTGTCAAACCGTTCCACGTGATTCATCTGTCTAGTCTATTCGGCAAATCGGTAAATGCCGATGACTAAAAGCGTTAAATTTGTTTGAGGAGTTACAATTATGTTTCAGGCGAATGATTCACATTCAATAGCATAAGACCGATGTGCTATTACGCTCTAGGATGAGCACGTGCCATCATTGACTCAAACTTATGGACGCTAAAAATGATCCATCGATTCGATCTAATGAATCGGTTGGAAGTTATCATCAATGAGGAATAGTGCATCATATTTTACTCCGGAAAATTATCTTTATAGATAAAAGATTTCGCAATAATTAAATAGAAAATTGGATCTCGCTGAAATGAATTAGTTTTCACACATAATGTAGTTCATATTATGGTGAACAAAAAATGTCATAGATATGAAACTCAATAATGGATAGTTTCTGATTAATCAAAGGTGCTCTGTGAGTTCAAATTTTACATCTTTAATACATAGCTCAAAAACGATCTAATGCACGGAAAAAAATATATGAGTGGTACAGGAAAGCTACAATTTACTGCATGAATTCCAACATCTGTAACTAAGAAGATTTGATAGTTTAACGAATCGCTAATATTATTCAACTGTTAACTTCGCATAAAAAAACTGACTGTCGTGTATGTGTGTGTATGTGTATATATATATATATAAAACGACCGTAGATTTGCTGAATCAAGTTTTTAGCTACAGTGCTTCTTTCCATATGGATAGAAAAGAAGGTGATATTATGGCATCCCAGTTTACACAATAACTTGATTAATAATCAATATTTAAGTTTAAAATTTAACAATTACGTTCGTTAAAATCAAAGCGATTCTGGACTCAAAGTTACAAAATATTTATTAGTTAGGACACTATTAATAAAAATATTGCGACATTGCATAATGACTTGAAGAAAAACATGAGTAATAATGTAGCCTTTCATAAAAATAGCCTTAAAAAATTAGTTTCGTTTAGAAAACAGTATCTGATCACAAAATTAACAAAAAAGTAATACATTTTAGAATGTATGCAAATAAATGTATGTACATTCACATAACTTCTGCATGTAAGATGCTCAGTACTAAAAATCTCAGTACTAAAAATAGTACATGTAATATAAACTATAGACTAATATAAACTATATATTAAATACTAAAATGTATCTCAGAAACGTTTCGAAATACTTGAAAGTAAAAATGCATTATAATAAGGGCTTGATATTATAATGAATATTGGTATATTAGCTCACAGTGTAACGGTGAGCTATTGAACAAATAATTCCATAAGTTAATAATTCCATCATTAAGCTTCGTTATGTAATAGCGGAAATATTAAGGGAGACCACAATATATACACTGGTCATAATATCACCTTCTCTATTTTCCATTTAGTGACACGAACATCTTTCTCTATTCAGAAAATAACAAAGATAGAAAGACGCTTGTATCAATTTGTATCAAATAGAAAGCTCCCGTTATTGAACTGTGTTTATAATATCCTCTGTTTATAATTTTATAAATTACATTATATGTATAAAAACTCATTTCACCGAGACTCTATATTTTCCATATAATTGGTGCGGGATCCTTTATAGTTTTATTCTTTATGTATTTTGCCATATCTCTACCAAGTCATTGAAAAATTCCAACTAATTAATAATTAATTACTCCAGAAGAATCAGATCTTTTTTCCGCGAAAAAAATTACTCCAGATAATTTTCGAATTTTTCACATCGATGTATCTTTCCCACGAATGGGCTTTTATAATTGGGAGACAGCCTTGTCCCGATCGGAATCAGATGCAAACAGAAAAAGAGAGAAAGAGAAAGAGAGAGAGAGAGAGAGAACGCATTCACCGCGGATAACTTTAACGAGACTTAACGAGTCTACTCATACAGACGGCTCCAGCGATCATCATTCTCGCGTTCCGCCTCTCCCACACTTCCCAGATCTCTGTGATCATCATCCCATCTCTGTTCTACGACGCAGAAAGTGCTGCTATCCATCGTCAATCCTTGGGACGTGAAGGTAGCCAGTGTTGATCCGATCGGACTGGCCGAACGACGGGGCGTCTCCCTGTCTGTCTTACCGTCACCCTCTAATCAAGACGAGAGTACCAATCAGGAGTGGTCGACCTTAAACAGGGTCCTCAAGATACCGTCACCCTGGTACAAACCTGGTACTGGTTCCACCGATCACGTCAACTCTGTTAAACCCGAGGAATCGACGTTAATCGATCCTATCTGGTTGGATCCTTGGTGTTCACCGAGAAGGTATCTACAATTTTCTATCAACATATAAATAATAAATAAAAAATTGAATTTATATATATATTATTATCATTCGATACAAATGAAATTTTGTAATATGAATACTCTTTTGACGAAATAAAATAATTTTTTTCTTAAGAAAACCCTTAATAGTTTTAAGTCAAACAATTCTCTTTTTTTTTCTCTTTCTTTTTTAAATTTCGTATATTTTTAAACTTTTAATAAATTTATTTTTTATAACTTTAAATTTTATATAATCTTTAATTATATTAATATTTATTATTAATTAGGAAAATTTTTTGAAACAATTACAAATATGATAAAAAAAATATGTCAATAATTAATTGACGTAAATCAAAATCACCGTTACAGTTACATATTAATTATTTAATAATGGAATTCGTTGTATTTTGAAGGTCGCCCGCCAACAAGATTCACAATTCTTCATCGCCGAATTCATCTAAGGAAAGATTACGAGGTAGCAGACAGACAACCGGCGAAACAAGGCACGGCGATGAGGCGGGCGAGGGCGACAATGAATTAATCAAGGCTCCGCAGGAAATTAGCCGCGGCGGTTTCGATGATGTGGATGGTACAGCGACGGTGCGAGTGCGTTTCGAGATCGACGGAGCGAAGTCGAAGCGGAATGGAGTGCGATGTGAGAACGGACGGGATGTCGATGATGCACCGCGAGTGTTGAAGAAAAATCAGACTGCGAACGATAATTCGAGGCCCGAACGACGCGAACGGCGACCGATCGCTAAACAAAATCGTACAAGCGAAGTGAATGCGGAGAAGAGACAAGAGAACTCTTCGCGGCAAACGGATCGTGGTGTGAAAGTCGGTAAAGACGAGAAAGATGCGAATGACGAACTGGACTATTCTCGGATAAGCGGAGAGAACCCAGCGATTGTCGACATCGTTCAGCATTTGGTGGAATCCAGGTTGGTGGAATCCAATTACTGAAAATAATATGCGCAATACTAATAGTATCATTTTAATATCACGTCTTTGCCTCTTACTGTTTTAATTAAACTTAGATGAGATAAAATAAATAAAAAATAAAATAAACACAAGAATCTCTAATATCTTCGAAATAATGGAATAATAGATTAAATAATATTTAAAAATATCCAATATTCTTTTAATACTTTAATGTCACGGTTTCATTATACTCTCTCATTGTTCTGACTGAACCGCGAGAAAAATGAATTAGAATAAATTAAAAATAAAACAGAAGAAACATTAATGTCTTCAAAATTGCGGAATAATATTAAATAAAAAAAACTTTTATGAATGTACGATACCAAGTGAAAAATGATAATGGATGAAATCGACATCGAATCGACATCGATTTGACATCGATCTCATTATCATTTCTCATTGGATATTCTTTTAAATCCAATTATAAGTGAAAGGCGAAGGAAAAAGTAATACGAATTAATTTAAATTTTATTTTACAAGGCAAAATAGCGTAATATCTCTTTTTTTTTATGTTTCAAGATACAATCCACAAACCGCAGCGGAGAAGAGAATAAAAAGGATGCCATCATGTCGTCGTCAAGAAACTTCGAAGGAGATAGATCTAGTGGGTAAGACGGCGGTGTTGCGCGTTAAAGTGTAGAACAGGTCTGCGGTATGAAATGATTCGGAGGAAATTATGTTGGAATTAAAGCGAGATCTTCCGGTAGTTTAGGCTTGTTAGGGTTGTTTAGGATCAACCAGTGCGCTAACCACAATATAGGATCGGCCGGTTTTTGCTTGCAACACTGTAAAGAGTGATTTATTTAGAATAAATCGTAGAATATTGAACTGAAAAAATTATCTGCAAAATATATCATAAATTTCTGTCGATAAAAATTACTTTACCATTATCAAACCTTCGACAAGAACCGGGTTAATAGTTTCCCATAAAAAATCTTCGGCCATCTCGTCTCTTAATATAGGTTCAATTATGACTGAAAACAAGTTGTGAAGAAAAACAAAAAGATTTCTAGATTAACATCGAAATAACGCTAAATATTTAAGAAATTAAGTGTTACAGAAAAATAAAACAGAAAATAACATTTTACATCTAGGAAAGAAAAAATGGATTTCTCTCTCGGCCTGTTCGCGATTGCAGCTGCCATGGATAGCATTCTTTAAGTTATCTCCCTTTCGACCATACCTCGCTCGAATGCTGTCAGGAAAATACAAACGCGCTTCTGTTACCTGAAACAATTCTTAAAATAAATCAAAAGGAATTGATTTTTCAAGTATCATTTGAGAATTCTAATACGTATAAAATTTGAAAATATGGTCAACCGTGGTTGGTCCTATAATCCTTTTCCATTCTTCAACAGCGTTCTGTTTTGCTAATACGAATACTATAATAGATCCTGAGGACATATATGCCACCAGATTAGGAAAATTTAATTCGCCGAAGCGATTGTTGTAAAATTCTGCAACTTGTTCAGGTGTCAGCTGTAGCCAACGAGTCTGACAAATCTCAAATCCTTCTTCATATATTTGATTCTCGATTTCCTTTCTGTAAATCACTGCTTCCGGCTTTATTATGGCCAATGTATATTCAATGTCTGGTTCCTCTTCAACAGTCTTCTTAATTCTGTTCGTCTCAAGACAGACCGATGACAATTTAAAACTCTCTTCAGAATAATCATATTTTGTGGGACAAACAAATTTATACTGCAATTATCAAGTAACTGATAGAGGATATCCATTATTTGTTTACGACAAATAATCTTTACAAATAATTTTATTGCATTTCTATTTATCGAAAACATTTCTAATTGATGACCTACTATTCTGCTTGATTCACTGGAAGATTGTGTATCTATTGAAAAAGTTTTCGTAGAATCATATATCGTACTGTTACTGGATTGTACGGAATCGATTGGCTGATCAGATCCATTGGAAATTGGTTCAAGGTTATCTTTTCCAGGACGATATGGTGTAGGACACTTCGAAAAAAGAGTTACAGTTTCTGGACCGATTTTTTCAATAGTTTTGTCGTGTTGCTTTTGCGGACAGTCACACATTTTTATCTCGCACACAAGTTACACTTTTTACAATTATTTCTATTGTGCTCGTTTACGTTTAAGAAAAAGATTTGATTAATTGGCATACAATCAATAAAATTTTCCTATTTGTGTCATTTATGTTTGCGAATATGAAAGGTTATATCAAACTCTTCGATATTTATTTGTTCTGCCACTGTCATGGTGTAAAAGCACTAACTTTTTAAAATTATTCCTGCAGTGATCTTTTTAATCTCCGATCGGCGTCGCTACTTCAATTATCGCCATGTTTTCTTAACGAGAGTTTGCTCTGCGATAAGTTAGCAAAGTTAAGAACATATTACTTGCGTAGGTACATTCATTTTTAATGCTAATGTCGTACGAATATTTATCCAGTGATAACAGCTTTGAATTATGCAAATTTAAAGATTATATTATTAACTGTTTAATATTATTTCTGCAAAATTAATTATTATTACGCTATGCTTTAAGGCGTGCTTGAGCATTTGTTAATTTAATAATTTTTATTCAATTATTCCTTTCGATTAATTTTCAGATTCTCCAGGCAAACCGAGCGATAATGCCGACATTGTTGTTAATGCAGCCAAGAAAGAGAATAACCAAGAAACTTCCAACGAGACGACGACGGTGAAAGTATTACCGGAAGTGACACCACTACGCACTACGAATATAAGAAAGACAAGCATATCCATGCCTAGCAAACTCAATGAAATGGACGATCTTCGAATAGACAGACAAAACGTAAGTTGAATTATATTAATATAAAGCGATTATATTAATATATAATTACTATTGCAATAATCTTTATTTTATAAAAATTCATATGTTTTATATATATATATGTGTCATTAATCCGAGGAATCTATTAAAACATATCGAGGAATTTTAACGACTATATAAGTTTATGTACAGTATGTTGCCGATTCTGTTAAGTTGATAATGATAAGCTAGAACTTGACAAAATTGGTAGCCAATCGCGCTTCACTCAGCGACGGTCACGTGAGCGCACTCAGTACCGTAGCATGAGTTTTTAGCGTTTCTTCCTTCAAATACTTATTCCTCTTTCAAATTTCATTCGTTGCCCTTTTGAAGGTATGTTTTTGCAAAGCCACTTCGATTGCTGATGTTGAAAATTGTTGAATTCTTTCCTTTCCTTTTTTAATTTTACTGACAGCTGGTTCCGTTATAAGCTTCCGCTATTTCTCTTCCAGATAATTCTTTGTCAAGGTTTTCAATTACCTCCATCTTTGTTTTAATAGATAAATAATTCTTCGGCGATTTCTTTCCATTTGACTTCACATTTGTTTATTATATATTTTATTTTGGCATTGCTATTAATATCCCGCATCGCGTCGGCATTTTTGAAAATGTTCACGTACGCCGCTGCCGGTTCCAACTTCGCGAGTTCCCTCCATGCGTTTATCATTTATTAATAAAAAAAAGGTTAAAGGGAAAAAACTTGACAAAATCGGATTTGACAGAATCAGCACTGTAAATGTTAGAAAAGGACGCAAAATATACTGACAACAACAGAAATATTCCTCATATATCAAAAGAAAAAAGTGCTATTACATGTAAAATTTTTAGCTGTAATTGTAAGACCATAAAAAGCGATAAATTGAATGGCTACCGCGTCGAGATAAGTGATAAATCACGTGGTTGTAATCATGAGTGAAACGTTATAACAATAATCAAAGCAGATCATCGTCGAAGATTCTGTTCCATGAAAGATTGCAAGCCTTATTATCAAGCAACGGGAAGACAATTATGTGATTTATCACTTGTCCAACGCGATAACCAATCAATTTATTACTTTTTATGGTCTTACGACTGAAACTTTTACGTGCAATGACCTTTACACTTTACACGCTCGCCTGAAAAAGGTGCCAAAAGTCATCAAACAATAACATTCCGCATATTTCTTATTCACTGACTAATCAGTATCAGTTCCTCTAATAACGAAGACAACATTATATTGCCTCTCTTCATTTTCATTTGTGAAAAGAAGCTCCATGATCAACTTAATTTCAAGTGATTAATACATCACGATTTTTCACTAAGGAAAAAATTCGATCTGTACTTCCGAGTTATAGTTGAAAATTCTCTTAATAATAATAATTGATGATTATACATAATCGGGGATCGTTATTTATAATTTTATGTTAACTTTATTATCGAGTTAAGCGTTTTACATTATATTGTATATCGCAAGAAAAAACGGAGAAAGAAGTCAATAAGTGGTATGGATCCGTATGAGTGGCACGAGACAGACGTCAAGGATCACAGTTTATATTTCTTGGAGAATGCCTTGGCTTTTGCTAGAAAAAGCAAATTGAATGTCATTCAGAAGGTGCGATTAAAAACAATTTGCAGAATGAAGGCCGATATTCATAGTTCATATCCTTATTTTAAAATAGTCTTAAGTAAGACTAATGTCTAAGATGTTAATATGATTCTGTGGCCGATATTCAGTCGATTCTTATAATATTTTAAAACTGTTTGTCTTACGTATAATTTTAAGATGTCATGAACCAAGCAGAGAATCATATATATAATTAGCATCTTAAAACATTATTTAAGACGATCTTAAAATAAGAACACACTATAAATACCGCCCTGTATTATTCCCTGGTTTATAACATTGATTTATAACATTTTAAGATTGTATTTAATTGTAAGATGATTTTAAATGTAAGAAAATCGACTATGAATACTGATCAAAGAATTCCAAAAATTCTATTGATTTAATAAATATCGCAGCAAATTAAAGAAAAAAAACTTTAGACAAACATTATATATGAATCTTGAATATTAAAAATAATAAAATCATAGTCATCTCTCTTTTTTATGATTTTTAATGATAGTCTTTTTTTATGATTTCTGACAAATCCAACGTTTCTTTCTATTAATCATCTATTACAATATTCATTCTTGTGTGTCACTTTAGAAAAAAACAAAAGATTTTTCAACAATATATGTGTTACATAACGTTTATCGTTTGCGAGTTACTCTGCAATATTCTACTTTGAAAAACAAGTAGTTTATTCGACATGAACGGTAATATTGTTTCGCAATATTATATTTCAGATTCAACTGTTTAAACTGTATTTTTTATAATTTTTTACATTTTCTTTGCCCTCTTTTTTTGAGATTTAATTATACATCTTTTATTTTAAATACACAAGATTTAAATAAAAGTGAAAAGGCAAAAATTTTTCATATTTATGAGATTTTTTTTAGTTTATCACAGATATTTGAGAAGAAACACAAACTTTCGGTAAGGTCAATAATCACGCGACGTATGATATCGATTATCAAGGCAATATATCAGCAATTTTTAATCGAACTAACGTAACGTATTAATACTTACATTCAAAGAGCACTACCATGCTATGTAATTAGCGTAACGTTAATATTTTTAGAACGGCGGTCGAAAAATGTCCTTGAGTAACGTTTTGCTACAAAGAGACGATACTGAGTGATACTGCCTAAAATATTCCATTTCTTGTTTGCTAAATTTTCTACTTGATATACGATGTGTAAACATTGCTGATAAAGAATGTATATGGTCGTTATACTTAATTAGTTATCGCATTTCATACGCTTAGCAATATTGTTTCAAATATTTCACATATTTCTGTTTGCAATTTTTCATTTGAAAAAAGAACATTTAAAACAAGTAGCATAAATTTAGATAAATATAAGATTCAATAAAATATTAATAGTAATGATGTCTTATCGGTGGTATTTCTTCGGGTCGAATGTCAATAAAAAATGAACACTACACATCGTTGCTCAATTTTAAATTAATTTAATGATCCATGTGGACGCAGATGAACCTTGCAACGACGTGATCGACAAAGATAATTTACAGTCTTAATCGACAATTGATCTGTTATATTTGATTTGTTTTATTGCACAGGACAAGTGGGTTAGTTATGCTTATTTACACCTGAATTTCGGATTGTGATGTTTCAGGGTACCGCTTCGAAATTTACGAGAGACGAGAGCGAGACCAGCAGCAGCGTGACTTTCAGTAACAGTGGCTCAACCCCGAATGGAAGTCCTCTGGGATCCGAAACTGAAGAGGAAGCAAATGATGAAGAATTGGCTAAGTGAGTGTTAGATTCAGATTGATTAAGATTAAGAGACGAATTGAGAAAAGAATAAAGTTAAAAACCGACTCTGTGTGTTTATGATTTTGATTAGTTTATGATTTATAAATTTGTATCGAAGATAATATGATTTCGATTAATTTAGTACTAGAATTTTAATTTGTTTAACGATAATTAAAGTTTTGTTAATGATTAATTGGCTTCAGTAGATTATTCACAGATGTGTGTGTGCAGTTCATATATAATTCAAGTGCTTTTTTATGAACTTTCAAGTCTTGAGTCGACGAATGATAATGTCGTAGCACAACATTGTTTACATGCTGCTAAGTTTGCCTTTCCAATAATGATCTGGTTTCGCACCTGTGTTAACTTGTTTCAACCGCTTAATAAATCTAAAAATGCTATCACCGAGTTTGAGATCGGAGAAACCGAATAGCTCCATGTAGCTTACTCGCAGGAGACGGATATTTCGCCTGCAATTTTCTCTCGGTGATATACGCTCTAAATGCGCAATTTGCATTGTAACACCCCACTAGACGCATACACGAGGTACTGTTTATCGTTCTCACTTGCGGTCGTCTTCTGACTGGGATAAAACAAACGTACCTATCTGACTGTATTCACGGTCATCGTAAGCATCATCGTCAGGTCCGACCTTCCTTCATATCGCTTCAGGGTTATCGCACTACAAGAGTTGGCTCCTCGTAATCGTTGGTTTCGGCTAACAGTTGCCGCTCGAACGCAATTACAGTTTCCTCGCTTTTTCGTATACATATAATTGTTCAAAATTTTCTATTTTTCGGACTTTTTGCGTCAATCATATGAGTGCATATGGAGTATTTAAAAATATTATGTTTGTAATTGTGGTTTTCGCATCGAAAAAATATAGTTCAAAGATTATATAAAATATAAATTTAAAACCAATTAAAACATTAGCGAAGATTTTAGTTCAATAATTCAATTATCAATTTATTACATAATATTAATTCATTAATCTATCAAAATTCAATTCAAAATCACTAATAAAATATCAATATCTCTGCTAAGACGGTAAAATGATCCCCAGATACGATATTGGTAGCGCTGTATCATTGCAAAGGTACAATGATGTATATCGATATCTTCCGAAAAATCTGAAATAAAGAAACTTTATTTAAGCCCACTTTAGTTAAGCTATAATTTTTGCATCAGATTCCAAGAATAAAATTTTATTTATAATGTTATACACTGTATATTTTAATATTCGTGTATTTATGCATTTTTTTATATCTATATATTTTGATTCCTCGATATTTTTTGTATTATGTAGCAAAATTATAAATAGAATCTGATATAAGAGTAAGTTAGATCGTCTATATCTTTATATGTAATCGTTTGTCTTTATGATGTCACCCAGTCGGTATCAACTAAAAAGTAACATAACATCGATAGATCTGTTCGCGTTGCATAACTTTTTGCGTTCAGTTCTTTATTTTCTTTATTTTCCATGTCTGAATGTATTATACAATATTTATCCCGTTATAAATGTAGAAGTTTTTAGGAATTTCAAGCAACGTGAACAAACCTAATGTTATAATTTCGTACTCAATAATGTAACTGTTATGTAACAACATATGTTACATTATGTTTATATTGTTGAATGCGAAATTGTGTAACATTGATGTTATATTGCTTTTAGATTGTGTCGAATGAGTAATGATGAACTCGAAATTTTCTTTTGCAGAGTGCCACTGCAAGCTCCACCTCGAAGGAAAGGCAGAATCGTATCATCCTCGGTCAATGAAAAAATGGCAAACGACACTACGGAACTTTCGGGTGTGCAAAGCGCGACTTCCACGATAACCAGCGTGAACAGCATTAGCAGTCTTTTAAAGGAGAAATTGCAGTTATCATTACCACAAGCATTGCGTAGCAGTGCAAGACGTCAGAATGCTGATTATAGGTAAAGCGAAAGTTGCATAATTATTTATCATGTCGAAAGATCGAAGTCTTATAGAATTTAAATAATAGATATATTGAAATTTTTAATAAGAACTATACATCAATTATTTGTATCATAATGATTGTTTAAAAGCATTTAATAATTTTTTAAAATAATTTTTCTACAGGCTTAAAGCATTTGTTGGTATCTTGTTCCTCTGCATCGTTTTCCTTGTGGGTTTCGCTCACATTTATTACACTCAGCATGTCCTGCAACGAGCTTATTTTGAGAAATTTAGGTGAGCATCTATTGTGATCGATAAAATATTACACATTAAAATTATATATATTAGCGCATTATTGAAGAAGTGATATTTCGATAGTCGGCGGCATCGCTTGTCGTCTACTCTGAAATAACTTTCGGTCGTTTGCCTCTGCCAGGAAGCGCTTAATGGAATACATTAAGGCTCATTTATCGTGCTGATCTCGTGCCAGTCTCAAAATGCGTATTCAATTGGTAATCCAACGTGCATGCTTAACTTTTCAGGGGCTACATTATCTTAGAGTCGTGGGAGGGAGATCTCAGTACCGATTATATTTTACACAATAAATTTTTTTTATCACTGTACATAGAGCTTGATAAATATGATTATAAATATAATTTTCTTTAATTTTCTTCAGTATTTCTTACGAAGTTCAAGAAAGATTTCTCTTTAATAATTATTTATATCGATTTTCTTTTCAGATTCAATAAAAACGAAAGAGTGATGAGAGTCTACAGCAGTTCCGGAGCGGAGATCATTGCTGCTCGGCTTGGTGAGGGTATTTCACCGAACACAGGGGTGTATCCTTGTCTTCCTCATCATCAACGACAAGACTCGGTCTGCCTTGAGTGGCTACAGCAAACACGGCTTTACCTCGCGCACACGAAACGCGAGGGTATGTACTGCTATCACGTCACTTGGCAAAGTTTAAGTCCTTACTACAATCCCAAGGACTGCTTCGACTGGTCTTCGAAGAGAGGCCATTGGTATGGCGCCGGACAAATACAAAACATGGTGTATCCTCTGGAACGCGGTCGCCTAGAGCTGAGCCCGTTTATCACTGGCGACGTAAGGAAACATCCGTTTGGCAATGTGCTGAAAAGATACTTCCTGAATTCAAAGGGTGCTACAATCTTGGTGGATCCTGAAACACCACTTTATGTCTCAATTAACGCTAATCGTACCAACGACTTTTGTCTTCAGGCGAAACATGACGCCTTTGCTTATATTAATCATTTGACGCCGCTACCTCAGCTTAACTATACTATCTGCGCGACCGACAATATGAAGAGTTTGCACTCCTCGATGGCGGAGAAGTCTCTGTGGGACGGTTTGAAGCCCGATGAACTGCACGCCGTTCATTCTCTGCTGTCCGAACCAGTTTGGCAAATTTCGCCTATCAACGAAGCGGCTATTTACAACTATACAGAAGATGTGATCGCGCTGGGATTCCTTCGTCAAGGGCATGTCCTGTTGAGTGAGGAATGGCAGCCCAATCCAGGTGATTTCATCTTAGACGAGGAACGATTCCCTTCTATGGAGGAAACTATCAATATTATTCATCGCAGAGGATTTAGAATAGTCTTCAGCATCCAGCCGTTTATTTCTACAGAATCCATCAACTTCAAGGACGCTGTCGCTAATAGATTACTGATTTCCGAGAGAGGAAGCGATCCTAGGATTCCAGCGTTGACAAGGTTGTTAATCAAGAATTTATTTATAAAAATTATATATATTTTTTTATCGTGACATATTTTATAATCTGGCCGTGAGAAAATTTTTAAAAAAATTTATATTTAATTTCAGGTACAAGCAAAGTAACAGTGCCGGCGTGCTCGACATTACAAACAACAAGACCTTACCGTGGCTGCAGACTAAGCTCGAGAGCCTCATCATGAAATATCATGTCGACTCGTTCTACCTCGATCTGGGCACTGCTCAGGATATGCCGCATTACTACAAATGCGAGCAGCCTCTCACCAACCCTGACCATTACAAGACCATCTTTACCCGTTCGATACTAGGCACCATACCCGTAATCGGCGTTTCAAGCGCCATTTCCAGACCACGGGCACCTGTCTTCGTGTCTCTGCCTCCTTTCCCGTCATCCTGGAAAGCCATCAAGACCGTCATTCCCACCGTTCTCAGTTACGGCATGATCGGCTATCCGTTCATCATGCCAGGAGCGGTAGGCGGCGATGTGGCACTTCCGATGTCAGACAACAATCCAGATAATGACTACGAAGTAGATCTGCCAGATAAAGAACTCTACATCCGTTGGCTGCAGCTGTCCACCTTTTTGCCCGTGATTCGCTTCACTTATCTACCAAGCAAGTACTCAGATGAGTCGGTCCTGGAAATCGCCAAGAGACTGACTACTTTGCGGCAGAAAACGGTTACGCCATTACTGAAGAAGTACGCGAATGAAACTCTGGACACTGGTCTGCCTATTATCAGGCCACTCTGGATGCTGGATCCGGCTGATCCGGCATGCCACGTAGTGGTCGATGAATTTTCCGTAGGCGAAGAGTTGATCGTGGCGCCAGTGCTTTATTCCGGTAGTAGGCAGAGGGAGGTATATCTGCCGGCTGGAGTCTGGAGGGACGGTATCGACGGAAGCCTAAGGAAGGGCTCAAGATGGATTCACAATTACAGAGTAGCTGAGGATAAGATCGCATATTTCGTCAAAATGCCAGACAATACGAGATTCTGAAAGATACGATGTCATTTCACCTTTTTACATCATGCAGGATAATGTTGTCAAAGAATTTTGAGATCGATGATAAGATTTGTTCATATGCAAAATGAATCATCACGACGAATGATGTGCAATCGATTTGTTAGTATGACGAATACTGATCGCTTATCTACAAATTTTTATCGATTCGTCTTGAGCCTTTATTAAATGTACAAGATGAACTTGTTCCTCGGTAAGTCCCGAAAGTGCAGAAAAATAATCATGCATTAACAAATATATATCATTGAGTTTAAAACGACAAGAATTTTGCAAATGCGATGATGTATTAAATAAATGTATTTAAAAATTGCGATTATATTAAATAGATATGAAATCAATATTGTGATCTTTGGCAGAGTGCAACAGGATTATTATGTAGGGATAAATACTTAACGGCATGTAAAGCCATGAGAGATTTACACGTACATTAGAGATGCAATATTGCATTTGAAAATGCAATATTTAACAAGAATATATCGAAAGATTTGATAATAAAAGTATCCAATATTACTGTATTCTACGGATATGAAATTATTGTATCAACACTAGTATTACATTACAATGCATATCATAGGCCAAATATCGATACACATTTACATTAAAAAAACAAGAATCAATTGTAGATTTAACTTAAGCTGTCAATTATATTTATTTTACCTAACAATGTGGTTTTACATCTCTACTTTTCAATAATCCATTAGTAAAACTGATTTATATTATTTATAAAAAAAAAAGACATTTTTTAATGATATAAAAAAATAAAGAAGTGAATACAATTGATGAGAATGTATCTGAAGGCAGTTTTATAGGGCGCACGGGGCTATTTATTTTTCCTCCTTTTTTTCATTACAAACTTACACGACATATAAAACAAAATACGTGAGCATGCAGAAGCAGGATACGAAACTGGCGCGATTCCCGACTGATTTAACTTAACGATGCTGCAGTCACGAAAATATGTATCTCACGTCACGATCGTTGTAATTCGAACGTAGAGATTATTTTCGCGTGTTTGCAGCATCGAGTTCTGTACGCAGCGGGATCACGCCGGTTTTGATCCTTGTGCAAAAACATCTCAAACAGGCGGCTGATCTACGGTCGATCGACGAGGAGAAAATCAAGACGCGTGAGGCACACAGGCGACAAATTCTAAGGTATAGTGTATATTTATTATATTATCATTTTTATCATATAGCGTAACATCGTTATTTCTATAATAATAATAATAATAATAATCATAGCACCATGAACACTCCACAGTAAGTTTTTTTTCTTTTTTTTTTTTTTTCTTTTAATTCGTTATTCGAAAAGAACGCGACGCGCCGATGCGCTGCGACGGGTGAGAACCGCGATCGTGTAATCGTATAATATATAAGGAACTCGAACAGCACTAAAATATCAGAGAATATCCAAGCAACGTTCGGCGGTACAATCACAGTTTCCTCGGAACGCTCCTTGAACGTTTCTCCGAGATCTTTATCGATCTCGCGAAGTCTCGCATTACTCTCATTGCGCAACAACGAGATTTTCGACTGGATCTTCCCTTTTATCTCTTTGCGCCAGGAAACGTGATTTCTGACTAGAGCTCATAGAATATCTGAGAAAATTTCACGGTAGAGGAAAGGCGCATCTTTTGATTTTTGTCGATTCGTGCCGTCTGTCCGGCTCGTGGGATAAGAAGCGATCGAGGGAAAAAAGCGCGAGCGAATCGAGAAACGTCGAGAGCGGAAGATCGCCATTTTCCTCCATTACCGGAACGACTGACAATTTTTCTCTTCTAATTAATAATATTATTATTAATTGTTCTTTAGAGGAAATCATCGATATCACCGTTCTCGCACCCGTCGAGCACCGCGATTTTAGGGGTTCGTAGAGGTGTTGAGACTCACGTTTTTCATATCTCTCTCTTTCTTTCTCTCTCTCTCTCTCTCTCTCTCTCTCTCTCTCTCCTCTGCTTTCTCTCTCTCCCTCTTTTTCTCTGTCTTTCTTTCTCACGCTCTCTATTATACTTCCTTTCTTATGTACTTTGTTCATATATTATATAGATATCTATATATATAATATATATATTCTTCTTCCCTCATATTTCCCGCTAATCTGTTTCGGTGAAAGCTCGTTCCTAATCATTTATTTGTTCTTTTTTTTGGTTATTTTTATACTTTTTATTTAAATTACTCCAATAAATTCATCGTTTATTTAATCTATCCTGCGCGCATCATCATCGATCGACAATAGCTTCTCATTTAATAGTTTATTAATTTATTTTGTTTTTGTTAAATTGAATTTCATAATTTTAACATCCTACCTAGATAACTGGTCATTATATTACTTGTCAATAAATAATACGTAAATACATAGGTACACATACTTCATCGTCATCATCTCTCTCCCTCCTTGTCTCTTTCTCTCTCTCTTTCTCTTTCTTTCTTTTACTCTTATCTTTCTTTCTACTTCTCTCTTAAATATTTTTCTCTTGCACATCAATTCTCTATCATACGTATGAAGGTATCGATAAATATAAAAATTCTCTATTCAAGTATATGATAGAAAGAGAACGATGATGATGATGATAATGACCCTCTCTCATGAACGTAATCGTAATATCAATAATATTAATAGTAATCGCAATAATAATAATAGTAGCACAATAATATTATATTATTCGCAAAAATAACAAGCATAATAGTCGTTAAAAATAATTGGTATGGTAATAATCGTATTTATAACAATATCGATCGTTCTGGTCTATCTTTTTCGATGTCCCTTACGCCTATTCTTTCTCTTTCTTCTATACGTTTCTTTCTATTACAAAATTCTCGCTCGTCTCTTACGCCGATCGGCGAAGTAAAATCTTGGTCGCGCATGTCTCCATAAAATGACATTGTTAGACTCTCGCTTTCTTGACGACTGATTTTCGAATGAACGCACCATTGCATCCGGTGAATGCGATAAAAAAAATGATTATGAAACGCAAACAAAGAATGAACAATAAATAATCGAACGAATGACAAAGATGAGCACGTAGGCGATAGATAAATATGTATGCGCATGGGAAAGTAAATCTCGCGATCGAAACAGAAAATCCTGTGTAACTTACAGGCGGTAAAAAACTTACGCACTAATCTATAGAAACTGGGCCCGAAGGCCACTCTATCGCTTCTCATTTGCAGCGACAAATCGCTTTCATCGCCGTCTAATCGAGCACCATCGTTTTCGTGTAGGCACGAATGTGTCTCGTATAGAGGAGAGCTTTCTCCAACTTTCATTCGGCGAAATCCGCTTTTAATCATCAAGATCATGCTTCAACCAGATAACACAACGTACGAAAAACTTCCTGATCTTTTAGGCGTTCTCATTTTTCAAACATTACTTAGAATTCTCTCGATTCTCATAAATAAAATCATAGGATGTCTATTGACATGACAGTCTATCATTTTTGAGATATTAATTTAATTTCGTCAAAGTATTATTTGCGTCTGATCTCGCAAGAATGGTGAGTAAAGGTGTCCTCTATAAGTTACAGTTCGATATTGTGCTTAATCGCACTTGTCTCTCTGTTTTACTTCTTGTATATCAATTCTCCTTCTGACCTATATATTCTCCTGTAATTCCGGATAATCAACTTCTACGTACACGTTTGGTACATCCTTAAATCGCAGCTACAGTCACTTTCGCATCGAAACCGACACGTTTTGATTTCGATTCGAATTTAATTAATTCAAGGCGATACATCGACTCGACATGACACTGTCGGCATGCGACAATTGCGATCTAGGGGTACACACGCAGGGTCGGCACTAGATGGATTTTTTTAAGGTACAATTATAAGAATATTAAGAGTCAAGATATTTGGTACGACCCGGTTTTTCTTTCAATCTTTTAGAAAAGATGGGGAGTATTCCCAGACAGCATAAATGTCCAAAATTCATAAAAAAACATTCGAAAGGACTTAGTTTTCCAAAAGTTTTTTACATAGTACAGATAATTACTGTGTACATGCATTTTGGACTTTCGCACTGTTTGAGCAAAACTTAACCACCATCAACTGCCTCACGAAGACTCGCTGATAAACGCGTACTCCTGCATCAGGAAGTCACGGTATACAACTTTCGCTGTAAAATGAAAATGAATGGAAGGCCTGCCATCGACTTACTAAAAACAATCATACTTTATGTAGAATCTCAAATAAGCACGATGTTCGGCACATTTTCTTTCCACGTTATCATATCGTTGTAGTCATCTTCATCAGTTCATCATGCTCTGACTTAAAACATCTCAGTTAAAAAAATGTTAAGTACAAAAAGTTTGATCTTAGTCATTTCTCCGAATGTATAATATTTTCGCTGATTTCATAACCAAACCAGCGACAAACTGCGAAATTCATCTAGGAACGAATATTTATTTAAAGATCAACGATTGGCCTTCTTCAGACATTGTCGATACTTCAGAAAATAGCGATATTTCAGAGAACATCGGCCAAACGTTTCTCACGCAGCTGGGATTTAAGTACCGCAACAGATAGAACTTTGTTCGATCTGTCATTACGAAGACAATGACGTGATTTCTTATAGCGGAAATTTTAACCCGTTTCTTTTGATTACTTCTCTTCCTTAAGCCTTTCTTTTGACGTCACGGTTTAAGCGTCTCTAGCAACTCTTCCTTCAAGGTCCATCGGTCAGTTTTCTCTGCCATTATCGTTTTTCTTTTGAAGAATTCTTTTGGACAGGTTATTTTTCGCTTGATAGATCCTTTATCTTAGGAGTTTACAAATGTCTTCAGACATTTCCTCGAATCATATCTCGAGAAAACTTTCCTGCAATACCTAACTGTGAGATGGATGAACTGTAAAATTATTTGTGCGACGCTACAATTATTCGATTACTGTAAGATACTTTTTACTATATAGTTTTCATATATATAGTTTTCGTATCTGATACTTCTTTTAATAGGAATAGCGAGGCGATACGTAGCCGGGTGAAGATTTTGGATGCGGTTCACTTGACACTATAAATGTTTCGAAGCATTTGATTAATCAATCGGAAGAAAAAAATTTTATTAACTGATTTTATTAACCAATCAAAAAATGTTTCAAATTTGTAATATCAAATGAATCGCAGCCTTTATTTCTTTCATAAAACAATGTCATTATCCACCATGCAAATCTCGCACCAATATTATCAATGTCTGCAAAATCCATATCAAACTAAAGATCGAGATTAATCAAAAGAAAGAACTAATATCAAGTAATAACAAACTTTGCTTTCATTTGTCAAATCTTAATTCGAATCTTTAGTTTGATACAGAAATAAAAGATCGTCAGTGCTACGATCGCTGTTTTCTAAAGTATCATTCGTCTCACAATTTCAACAAGGCAATCAAAACAAAGGCCTTCAATCAAAGGTAATTTAAAGAAACGATCGAAGACGAATTGTTCGTCCGTCGGATGGACGTTTTTTTGAGACATGTCATCATCGCCCTGCACTCTCCTTACGACAACGAAACGCTCTACAGATCTCTTCCGGCATCATCCTCGTCGGACTCCTCGTCTAGCTTGGACCGCGTCGTCTGTATGATTGACGCAGCGAATCTATCAAGTAACCACCATTCCTCCGCGTATCTCTATTCTCTACGATATAGAAACACGACACACAGATAACTCCTACCCTAGTACTTCTCGATGGAATTTAGCTCCGTTTTACCTATGCACGAATAGACATTTATGACGAGAAAGGGGACCGTTAGTCACGTAACAACGAAGGATAATGTTTTTGCAGGTGAAACATGGATCGTTCTCCTCGTGCCTCATGTCTTTACGTATCCCGTTAAAGGATAATACGCAATCCATCGACGACACGAACGATAAATCCTCTTGATTCTTGCGCGTCCGTCAAACGCGCATTCTATCTTGTTCACGATAGCCACACTCAGTAGAATATTTATTTTACAACTGTTGGAAGTTTTCTTCGTTTGAAAAGGATTATTCCTTTAGACATGAAAGTATAATCCAAACTTGAAAATTTCTGACAATTGCAAGATAAATTCTGATAAACGTAGCCAATAGGTGTATTCTTTATCGATGAACTGATGCACATTGCAATAAATTGATGTGAAACAAATATAGTATGTTTCACTTCAACTTATTACATCATGTGCAGTTCAGAAAGTTCTTTGATAAAGAATAGACCTAATATATGCTTCCCCGCGTAAGTTAAAATGCGGTACTTCTCTTTTCTCTTTTTTTTTTCTTTTTTTTTTTAACTGATACACTAAATACTACGCGGTGCTCTTGAAGCGGCAGCTGTGTCAAAGATATTAAAAGTTTTACTTTGATCTGCTGATCGAGGAGAGAATGCGGGCGAGGAGGTCTCGCATCGATTGTTCGATCCGTGTTCAGTGGATCGAAAATAGAAATATCCTAAAATCAATTTATAATTTTCGATAACTAGCACACAGATTGTCACAGAACCGCAGCGCTTATGGACCGTCGTCGCTTTGCGATCGATCGTCGCTCATGCAACGTCATAATCATCGCTTTGCTTTAGCTTCAGCGCAAAATCTTCGCAAAAATGTCTTTGACTTGAGCAGTGATCGATAAGATATTGCAGGCGGTATCAGCACACTACGGGCTGCGTACAGTGCAGAATGTGGAAATATAAATATCCGTTGATGAACGCCGCTGTTATCAGTTCAACATGAATCTTAATCAAATGTAAATTTCTCCCTATTAATAATCGGCTTCTTAGAAGTAAATAATTAATTTATACCTTGTATCCCCGTGCAAGAGAAGAAACCCTCGCGATCTCTCCCTTATTTTCTCTGTTTCTTTCTTCTCGTCGCCCGCATCGTCTCCTCGCGAAGGAATAAGGAGAACGTCCTAAATTAGATTAAACAATCCCAATTTGAGACCTGAGCGCGATTCACACAAAATCGGCCTCGCTTCCTCAGGATTGCCTCTACATTGTTCGACGGGATTTCTACGATCCTGCTAGGCCGCGGAGCTATGACCGCGAGGGAATCTCGAAAATTCGAAATGCTGTTCGTCTTCGGGTCTCCTAGAAGGGGGGGTCAGGAATCACCTGACGGGACGGTAGGTCGGCCTGAGCGCTCGACTCTTTTTCTCTTCTTTTTTTTTTCTATTTTTTTTCTCTTGTAGAAATGGGTCCGAAAATGCAGAATGATAACGCATTCCGGACGCCGCTCAGAACTCGACTATTACGGCTGAGCAGGCTGCCAATCCCTAGAACTCGAGCCTGTAGGCGCTGCAACTAGTCTCATGATCCTGAAGATTGATAGTACACCTGGATGCGGACGGCGATAGATCTATGTGGTTCGCCGCGAGCGCTTCCTCGTTATCGGCGACCCAATAGCCCAAAGTATCGGTGTCGTAGGTCGGAATCATAGTTACCTCTGAAAAAAAAATAAAAATAATTATTAAAAATTAAATTGGCAAAGGTTATAAGAATGAATAAAAGAAATAGTCAATAAAAGCCAAATGCAGATGTCGAAGCGCAATATTCATACATTTATTATTAAACTATTACATGAAAAATATATCTACAATAAAATGTAATGGTATTGCAAAGGAGCATTGTTTTAATCCTCCTCAGTGTAAAAATTAAGCAGTAAATATTAAATTAAAAGAGTTTGAAGGTAAAAATAAAATTATATACAGACACTAACAATTATAGATTATTCGCAAGTATAAATAAATTATATTTTGTAAATTCTAATTGAATATAAATGATATGAAAACATGAAAATTATATCAAAATACACTCGGAACATGCAGTATAATTAATGTAGATATTATTCTCATTTGAATTAACATTCGAATATAAATATATTTATGATAAATCTTAATTAAGATTTAAATCTAATTAATATTTTTTTTGTCATGATCAAGATAAGTTTTGACACAATGATAAAAAGAAGTAATGATAAAGAAATAAATAAATAGTTAATAAATATTAGGAATCTCAATTAAATTGTCAGTTATCAAGAAAAATATAAGTAATATTGATCATTGTAAAGTTTGAGTTACATTCTTTAATTTTAAATAAAAATAATGTATAAACATAACAACAATTTATCATGAAAAGAAATAAATCTATAATGTTTTCAACACAATCTTAATAAACTTACCGAGATCTTTGTCCTCCCAAGTCTTTTTAGCTTCCAATAGAGCGTCATAGACTTCCCGGCTGGGCTCGGTACCGCTAAAGACATAATATCTCGCTCGTACTCTCTTGAAGAATTCTAAGGATGTGTAGTATGAATTTCCGTGATGGGGCACGTACGCTAAATCCATGTAAACCGATTGAACCTTATTTTTCGAATCTTTCATCTTCTTCTCGTTCTTACCGGGGCTTTCTGAACGCTTTTTGTTCTTGATATTCTCTGACTGAATCTTCTTCGCTTGTTTCCGTTCTTTTTTCGGTGTACTGGGTGCTCCTTTGTTCGATATCTCATTGGTCACTGGTGCGGGAGAAGGCAGCCTAAGAGGTTCTCCCCAATTTTTTACATCGAAATTCAAAGTATCGGAGGTTGTCTCATTTGAGCACGATGGAGATTGAGCAGAGTTCTTCAGATTGAATTTTTTGGGCGGTTTAGGAGACGGCAGCCCAAGAGGGGTTCCCCATCCCTCCAAAGGATCTTTTTTCGAATCACCCTTTGAATCATCTTTATCATCCCGGAACGAAGACGATGGATGATCTTTTTCATCGGTTGCTTCATGACGAAGGCTACCATTCGTGTACCTGGGCGCTATTCCGCTGCTGAAGGCCCCTCCGACCTCCTTCATCTCTTTATCCATCAGAGCTTTATCAAAGTCGAGATCGGCCTCGTCGATGTATCTCTTTGCGTCCGGTTTTTCGCCGTAATCACCGGCGGGCTCCTTTTCTACTGTGAATCGACTGTGAATGGGATCACTGCTTTTCTGCATACCAGTCTCACCGTGGAAGGTTTTCATAGCAGATATCTGAGGCGGTACCGCTGGCAGCTCACCGTAGAAGCTGCTGCTCATCGCGGCCACCGAGAATTCCACTTGTTTCTGCTCCTCTTGTTTATCAGAAGATGATTCATAGCGATGCATTGTTTGCGGTGAATATCCGACTTGCGAGGTTGAAGAAAGAGACGAACTGGGTGGTTCATCGTCAGAATAAGTATGTCGCTCCTCGCTGCTACCCCATGGGTGTGTCATGACTTTACTATGTGTGCTACTATGTTCACTCGATGGACTGGCCGGACCATGATCCTTTTCACCGGTTACATCGTCGGACCCTGGACCACGTTGCAATTCCGAGGATTTGATGCTGCCGATAATGCTGCTGATCGCGCTTTCCGCGGCATCTTTACTTGGCAGACGTTCATCTACCTTCACATCAGTCTTTTCCGCCAACACAACTGTCTCGCCTTTTTCATTTGTCGTTTCTGTGACCTCCCTGGTGGTCGTTACTATTTCACCTTCGTCGGAAACCGTCTTTGTAGTCGTAACGATAGTTCGGATCATCTCGCCCGATCTGAATCCTTCCGGTGTGCTCGTAGAGGATCGACAATCGGATCTTTTATCGGGCGTCGATCTACCCGATACGTGAGGTTGAACTACAGCGCCGTCTCTGATCAACGGCGACGTAGGAACCTCTGGCGTAGATTTGCCACTGAAGACGATATCCTTAGGCAACGATATATCCGGTGAAGACTTACCCGAATAACTTTTGTCATCAGATATAAGTTCTCGTATCAAAGGAGACACCGGATGTTCAAATTTGTCTGTGTCTAAGCGTTCTTTTATTGTAGATTCAAGTTTAGCTTCATGTTTGAGGTCAGGTGTCGATTTACCGGAATCGGAATAGAAGGCTTTTACGTCGGGCGTTGTAGTGCCCGATGTCACAGTCGTAATCGTTTCCTTGATAATTTTTTCCGCAGGTTTGGTACTTTCTGTCAATTTTTCTAATAATTTCTCGCCGGCCAAAGTGTCCGTGCTCTCTTTGACGTCTGTCTTTGTGGTAACTTTTCCGTCCGGTCCAGTAATCGTGGTTACAGTCGTCACGATTCGCTTTATATCGGCGCTGGCTGCGTCAGATGCATCTTCGTCACTCATAACCTTGTAGGTTGAACCTGAAGTAGGATCTGTGTAAATTTTCGACGGATCAGCTTGTGCTAATTCGTCATCTGCTAATTCCTCTGTCACGATTGTTCGCGTTGTTTTCGTAATAGTCTTCATATATTCGTCAGAATCTTCCTTCGAATCACTGATTTCTTCATCAGGGATGACAATTTCGCGTCTAATCACTTTTGTGATAATTTCAGGCTCGTCTTGCTCGATAATTTCGCGTTTAACAACTTTAGTGACTACTTCCGGCTCGTCATGTTCCATAATTTCCTTCTTAATAATCTTGGTAATTGTTTCGGGCTCATCTTGTTGAATACTCGACTGTTTAATTTCTTTGACTATTTCTTGTGGTTCAATTCCTTTCATGACTTCAGTTGTCTTTCCAGATTCCTCCTCTTTAATCACTTCATGTTTGATTGTCGTCTTACTTATAATAACGTCGCCATCCGATTCAGCCGCATGATCATCGGATGTAATTGTTGCCGAAATCCCCGCAGTTTCTTCAGGTTTGTCTTTATCGACAGTTTCCGTAATCTTGCTTTCTCTCAATATCGTAACAGTTTGAGCAGATTGCACAGTCTTCGTGTCTTCCACATCTGTTCTCGTTATGTGAGTAGTGGTCAGAGTAGATTCCGATAACTTTTCAGGCACTTTACCGGTTGGTTCGATTTTGGAAGCAGCGTCATGTGTAAATTCCGGAGTCGATTTTCCAGACAATGTGGTTATATGTGTCGTTCGCATCTCCGTCATACCACCAACGAAGGCCTTGTGAAACTGGCTCTCGTAATCTGGTGGATAATCGGATTTGTCCAACTGTTGCTCACCCGATTCTGGATACATACCCCTGGCATCATGCGGCAGTTCGTAATCTACATCCGTTGTTCCCTCGTAGTGATACATTGCCTTATCGTAGTCTTCTGGTTCTTCCTCTTGATAAATTTCCACATCGATCACAGATTCTCTTGGGATCTTCCTCTTTAATATAATTTCCTCCAATATCTCGAGAATAATATACCTGGGTAGAGAAGTCATGATGATTATCTCTTCGAGTATCATTTCCGTAATTTTCTTTCCTTTTTTTATATATTCTTCCTCCAAGAGTTTTTCGATTTCCATTCGCTTCTC